TATGTATTTCTTCTTCCTGTGGGGTCACCTCAAATCCGTCGTTTATAAAACTCGACCAAAAACCCCCGAGTAAATTGAGACGAAACATACTTGATGAATGTTCAAAGGTTACACTTGTAGTCGAAAAAGAAAAGGTCCTCAATTAATTTTAAAAGAAAAGAAAATTAATGCATGCACTAACATTTGTTAAAATAAATCAACCCTGTGTGATTTGTTTAAGTAAATATAACAACCTTATGTGCCCTGTCTGTTGGGCCACTCTGTGTAACAACAACTGCAAATTGTCATCATGCGTCAAACAGGAGAGATGGCTCAGCCAGCAGTGTCTTCTGAGCATTCAATGAAGGGGGGATTATATTGTAATGAAGTGGTTATGTAACTGATCACCCCTGAGATCATTGTCATGATTCGGTGAATCATGACAAATAATTCAATTCTTTAAGCATATTTTTTGTTTAGGTTTTGCTGCCTTATTTTGTATATTGTTTCAATTTTGTTTCCATATCATTTGTACGGTTTTTTTGCCTCATGGTATCAGCATTTAATAAGCATATGGTTTGCGAAAAATATATAAACAATGTATTCTCTCATGCACAAATCTGTGCATAAGGTTCCTCAAGCTTAATATACAAATTATATTGATTAATTGATTGCTTCATTACATGCTTAGTAATTATTTAAGAATGTATTTTTTTTAAACATGCCAGTTGTTGCCCTATAACGGATTGGGCAGTGGTGAGCTCTCTTCTCTGAGGACAAGGAATTCTTACCCGAAGACGTTAACATACAAGGGGCCTTAAATGATATGAACACAACTCCAAAAACTCGATAAAACATTTCAAATAAATGAATGTTCAAGATCAGCTTTTGAGAAAAGTTGACAGCGTCATCATCATCATGAGCTGTAACGCAATTCACCGCCGGACAAATTAGCATGTTATGGAAGTGATTGTGCTCTGAAAACTCATCCGCTGATTGACTGGACAAGGTAAAGGAGACCTTTTGTGTGGGGCCAGTATGCACAAGTGAATTAATCTGTCTACATTTCATGGAGCTGTTGGCTTGTGTCGCATACAAACCACCACTTGTTGAAATACCATTGAAAAACACTCACACATACATTACAAGTGGTTGTCAGCCACCATTGTGCACGTATCCCGATTTCATGTGTACTGGAGGGTTCTTTTTTACTTCCCCACCCTCCCTGCCCCCCCCCCCCTGGCCACCCTCCCCCCTTTTTTAAAAGCAGAAAAAATGTTTTTTTAGACGAGCATTAGGGGTTCTGAATTCAAAAGCTCCTGGTGAAATCTTTCGTTTATATTTGCTCTTAAATGTTATCAGATTTGTTTTGCCACCCCTCTCTCTGTTTACAAGCAGGCCGTTTGTTAGCTGCCAAAAAAAACCCGAGCAGATAAGGAGAGAGAGAGAGAGAGAAAAAAATCCTAAAAACTAACACACTACCTGCGAAAGCAAACCGTGGCTGGTCAGAAAAAGCATCAAAATTCTTCCAGAATCGCATGTCAATACAGTAAACATTCTCGCTGAATGAGCGAGCGGATTGAGGGAAGAAAGGAGTCTCTGTGTCGCCAGCTGACAGCCCTTGTTCGGTCATGCAATGGCTCCATTGTTTCCTCATTTCGGTTAAATTAGTTGTAATTTTCAATCGCGCACACACGCACACGTAAAACACATCGCGCGGCGTATTCGAGACACGTTTATCCGTTTAAAAAATATGTTGCAAACATAGTGCGTAGCATTGGGCAGAGCTAGCCACAGGCAGCCCATGTGCCATGACAAACTCAGGGTTTATTTTCCTAGCGCTCCGTGTATGTGTAAAACTGCTGAAGTGCATCATGATGTCAAGTGCCTCTGCAGGCCACCCAGGTTGAGGATGAGTTGGTGGGTGGGTGGGTGGATGGGTGCCTGGGTGGTTGGGCGGGCGGGCGGGAGGGAGGGCTCGCGGGTGGGTGGCTGTGGGAGAGCGAGGGAGGGGTGGGTGAGCGGCCCGATGCTTGGAGCTGTGTAGACCGAGGGGGGCTGATTAAACTACTGCTTCGGGGCACAGAGCAGGCAGGGGGGGGGGGAAGGCACGGGGGGAGGTGGGGGTTCTTTTTTTGGGAGCGTGCCGAACGATCGGGGAGGGGGAGCAATGGGGCGTGGGGAGCATGGGGACATAATGTGCTCATGGATACGGCAGCGAGCCAGTTAGAGACCTGGCCCGGACAAGCAGCTAGACATGAGCTTTCCCAGGTACGCGGGCGTCTATTAGGCCTCGCCTGATTGTAGGGAATCTCTGAATTGTTGGTGGAGGAGCGATTCATCAATAATTCATTTAGAGCTCTCGTGCGGTGAAAGGTTGGTGAATGGTGGGATAATGATAGCCGCCGAGCGAGCGTAAGTGACTGGGAGGGATGAATGCAGATATTGATGGCGCTTGCTCGCGCTCCCCTGTGACACATCACCGGGTGGAACTCACACCGCGGCACACCGGACAAAGGGCAGGTCTTTCGCCCTCCGGTTGCGGCACCACTTTCTCTGTGTGGCGCACAATGGCCAATGCGGTTGGTTGGTGGACGGGAGCGCGAATTGGCGAGATTTATGGGGGACACCAGGTGCTGTTGTGTGTAATTTTTTTTTTTACCAAGCAGAGAGATGGGCGTTAACCCAACGAAAATATGAGCGAAAAAAAAATCTGTAACAGGATTGAAATCTTTCGATTTAAAGCTTTCGTGACTGCAGGGATTCATCTTCTTGGTTCTTTCGATAAAGTCACGTAGAATGGAAATAATAAAATAAAACTTAATAAAATAATTCTCACGACGTTTCGGCCACAACGCAAGCAGCCGTCCTCAGGTGAAGACCAGGTCTGTCGGGGAGACAGCGTCTGAATGACAGACCTGGTCTTCACCTGAGGACGGCTGCTTGCGTTGTGGCCGAAACGTCGTGAGAATTATTTTATTATGTTTTATTTTTATTATTTTATTATTTCCATTCTACGTGACTTTACCGAAAGAACCAAGAAGAGGATTGAAATCTGTTAACAATAAGGTGGAGCAAGATGTCCGGCAGCTAACGTGTGGAGAGACAATTGAAAACAGAAGCAATACAACCTTACTCCTGTGACCTCAACAGAATCTCTAATCCAAGCCCCTGTCACGTACTGCTAATTCATGTTTTCAGCAGGAGCATTTACAAAAAAGAAATGGGACGTCAAGATTGCGTTAACGCATTGCTATGTACACACAAAGTGTTTCTGAGCGCACACGCCCTCAGAACGCTTGTGTTTATTGAGCGAATGCAAGCCCGAGTTTGTAAAAGTCTGGATTTATAATATTTCACGCTGTTGTGTTTATTACGCTCACAGTGACTAGTGGGTGCAAGTTTTACACGGTCAGTAAAATGCCACGTTTTTGGGGAAGAAGAGGAGCACATGTTCGTATTAAACAGTTATTCTCATAAACAAAGCCATCAGCAGTGCACTATATCTGATGTGCACTCGGACGACAACAACAACAAAGCCTTAAACAAAAACTTCCGCTATTAGTTTTTCGTACATTGGCAAAACAAATAAACCCTGTAAGCAATCTTTTTTTTGTCATAACAAATCCTTTTTTCGAGAAAGTGATTAAAATTCACTGCCGCTCTGTCGACATCGTTCACGCGAAAAATGGGCAGCCAAGCTAACGAAAACGCGAGCGCTTAATTTCTCATAAACTAACGAGCAACAATCAATGCTCGCTTCAATGCCGGGTGCTTTTTTAAGCACTTGGGAGTGAGACCAAGGGACGTCTCGTGCTCGCTTGTAGGTGTCACGGAGTGTAATTCAGCGTGGGGGGCCGGAGGGGTAGGGAGGGGGGGGATGTGCATCTTCAGACCTGAAGAAAACAAAAAAGCGAAAATAAATTATTCGGAATTCTTCTAAATCAACGCTTACACCTGTACATCCCCACCCACCCCACTCCCCAAGCGAGCCTTCACAGAGGCCTGGCACGCGCTCATAATTGGCTCCAGGGAACCCGGCGTCAAGTGGGTCACGGGGTCTGTTTTATTCTTTATTTAGCGGTGGGTGGTGTGAAGTAATGGTGGTGGGGTGGTGGGGTGGTGGTGTTATTTTTTATAAGCGGTCCTCACCTCATCCCTCACCTCGCTCGCATGCTCACCTTCGATGTAATCCTGGGTCATTTTGTGGTATGCGTGGAAAAAAATACCTTTGAGGTGACGGGGGGGGGGGGGGGGTTGGTTGGTGTGGGGGGTTGGTGTAGGGGGGTGGTGGAGTTGGGGTGGTGGTGGAGTTGGGGTGGTGGTGGGGGGGCCTTGAGTCTGGCACCGGAAATGGTGGCTCCCCCATCGAGGTGCAGGTCTTCCGGGAGTTGAGTCGGAGAGAGAGAGACCTGCTCGGGCTGAGCCCCAGATAATCCATCGGTTTTTTGCTGAATGAACACCATCCTCTGTTATAACTTCTTCTTTCATTGCCTTTTTTTTGCTTTTGTTTTAAGTTCAAGCTCCTCTCCTCCTTTTGCCTACCCCCTTAAACCTAAGCACTTCACCCCCCTACCAAGTGACAAAAGCTGATCCTGCTAAGTCTTAGGACCCCTCCCAACCTCACCCCTACGGTCTTCCTTTCTCAACATTAGAGCTCTCCAAATGTTGAAAACTAAGGCCCGCCTGCCCCCCCCCCCTGCAAAGCACAAAGCTCCCCTCCCCTCCCGTTGCTCAGCCTTAAGGACCCCCCGGTATTTTAGTCTGAAGTGCCCTCGAGCAAATACTTTGCCCACTGCACATCCAATTACTTTCTCTCGCGACCGGCGAATGCACTCGGGGGCAATCGCGCCGAAACTACCCTCGAGCCTTGCCGCCCTCGCACCCCGAATTTTTTTTCCCCCGCGGGCCCTGAGCTTCCCCGCGTCGCATGTCGGAGAAAGAGAAAAAAATTAAACAAAAACAAAAAGCGTTAATCATATCACCCCGTGCCGTTTCGATCGTTTGTTGCGTGCGAGCAGCGTACCTGACGGGGGCGGTCCCGGGCAGCGTGGAGGACTTCTGTGCCCTCTACTCGTCCCGGTCACGGGATGGAGCCGTAACGACGACAGCGGCGGCGGCGGCAGCGGGGGCCACCGGAATTTGCTTCCCGGATTTCGGAAGGCGGACGTCCGGGCCACAAGGACCGCTCTCCAATCACCTGGAGGGGGTGTCCGCGGACAGCGGAGAGGCGCAGCATCCGAGCAAGTAAGGGGAGATTCCGCTGTTGCTGTGGGGAATCTACGTCCCCGTGTGTCTGCTCTGGTCGATGTGGTGCAGGGTGTTTTCTCTAGAATCTGCCGGGAGAGTTAGTTGTGTTTGCCCACGAAAGATTGATTCTCACCCTCGCGATGCATGCGCCGTAATTGGATCGTCCATGTAAGAATCGATCATTTAATGTCAATTTCAAGCACACGTTATGCAAATATGACACAATTAAAGTTATGTTCAAGGAAGACGACACAAAAACAACTGACCAACATGAATTTCAAGCTTCATTAATGACGAAAAAGACTTTAAGGTTGAGATCATGTGTGCACCATTATATTGCATCACACTCCAACACTTTCATATGTTGAAAAATCAAGGCAATGGCATCAATCAAGCACTACAATTGTGCATCTGAATGTGTAGAAAAAAACATGTCCCTTCTCCCACGAAGGTATTTGATATATGCATTTGGATGACTTATATCCCGATATCCTTCACCCACATTATCTACAATGTGAAGTTGACGCCAAACGGAAGCTCCTGACCGCGACATTTGTGTCGCACAATTCAGATCGCTGGCTCGTATCATTCTTTTGTAAAATAAAATAAGAACGCCACTTTATGCTAACGGATAAAAAAAAGGAGAAATGCTGCCAGTTTATTCAACGGCGGCATGCGGCAGCGCGGGAAGCGATTAGCGGGAGAGGCATCGATGAAGCCACCAGCACGTGGCATGCACTGAGCGTGGAAGAGCGAGGGCCAATAACACCACCCTCTAGAGCCAGGAGTCGGCGTCCAAATGAACAAGAGGATTTTTTTCGAATTCGATATGAAAAAAAAACTAATTTCAAGAACCGCAATGCGCGTGAATGAGAGACGGTGATTGTCACTAATAGATAACGGTCGCGAAGCAAAGGTCCTTCGTAAGCCGCACGTGGCTACAGGGCCCCAGGTTGACGACCCACTGCTCCAGAGCGACTCTCCGTAGCTCGCTCGACTGCAGACCCTTGCGCCGTCAGCGACTGAGCGAAGGTAACTGCGTGGGCTGCCCCCTTCCCACGATCATTTCCGACCGGAGGATTCGTCATTGACCGTTGCGGCTCGATGCTTTTCCCGCTTCCCGCAGAAAGCGGCAGCGTGAGGGCTTGTGCCTGCTGCTGGTGGCGGACAGGCTGCGGCAGCCGGTGGGGGCCGTTCCCAGCCGGGACGGCACGCAGCGCCTCTTCATCCTGGAGCGCGAGGGTGTGGTGCGCGTGCTGGCGCCACGCTCGGGCATCTCCGCCGAGCCCTTCATGGACCTGCACAAGGTGGTGCAGAGCGGGAACAAGGTGAGGTGCACGCACGCACCGGGCAGAGCAACACGGAGAGTTGCCTCCTGTGAACTGTGATGGGTTAGAGGGAGGCAACCGGGGGGCTCCATATTCTTAGGGTTTCTTTCGGTAAAGTCACGTAGGTAAAAAATTAAAATTAATAAAAGTTAAATTAAAATAAAATCCATCTCAGCCAGGTCTGCCAGGGTTGGAGGCATGGAAAATCGTTTGGGGAACGGGCTTACCGTGTCCAGTGTACCTCTGGCTAATACTGTGGCTATGACAATTTATATATATTTTTTTTTATCTATCTTGAAAATTCATTTCTTTCAAACAGTTTTTGGTGTTTTTTTAATTGTTTAATATTTTATTCTTTTATTATTTTCCTTCTACGTGACTTTACCGAAAGAACCAAGAATATGAATCCCTGCAGTCACGAAAGCTTTAAATCAAAAGTTTTTGGTGTGTTTAGTTTGTTGTCCTTCCCCCGCACCTCCGATTGGTAAGGTTGGCTACGTACGGTTGCGAAAGGAGTTCAACGTACACGTGTACGCACGATAGCGTTCACCTGCTACCAACTCCAGTGGACGTAGCGAGCCAGAAAATATTCAGTGAGAAATGAAGCCGCGAAGGGGAGAGGTGCCGCTCTGCCAAGCCGGGGCAGCGCCGTTGAAGACGTCACCGTCCTCTGATTGGTGGTTCGAAGGCAGGGTGTGTGCATCGTCAAACAAGCAGCACCACCATTGACTCGGTGAAGGGAATTCCACATTCATATGGCGGGGGAGAAGCCCATTAATAGGATAGCCACTGTATAGACGGGCTACATTAGCCCTGGACAGGAACGTGAACGTGTAACCTTTCGATTGTGAGTCACTCTAACATTGCCACATGACCAGATGAGTCAATGTAAAGGGTCACTAAACAGCCACTTATTGCCACGTGTAAAACGATACTGCTCGTGTATCTGATAGTATCAGTGGCATTGATTCTCCTCTGGATAATGAGGTATTAGTGAACCCTTCCAGATCTCATTGGTGACTCCAAGGTGATGGGGATGAATGTTCGGATAATCCATTGCCACGATGAGATTGATGCCACCAAATGTGGCTGGTTGCAGTAATATTTATATAAGTAATATTCACTCAACCTAGAAAATACTGTATGGCATATATTAAAGGTCATTTGCAAACAGGAAATTGGATGGCTTGCCCGTTTACACGTTTATTACGTTTTGATTTAAAGCTTTCGTGACTGCAGGGATTCATATTCTTGGTTCTTTTGGTAAAGTCACGTAGAAGGGAAACAATAAAATAATAAAAATATAAAACAATTAAATTCTCACGACGTTTCGATTGCAACACAAGCAATCATCATCAGGTGTGAAAACCACAGCAAGACATTTTTGAAAAAAGTGGCCATTTTTTCTTAACGTTGAGAAAAACACGCCACTTTTTTCAAAATGTTCTTGCTGTGGTTTTCACACCTGATGACGATTGCTTGTGTTGCAATCGAAACGTCGTGAGAATTTAATTTTTTATATTTTTATTATTTTATTGTTTCCCTTCTATGTGACTTTACCGAAAGAACCAAGAATATGTTTATTACGTATTATATTTAATGCAAACCAGGTGACAGTCTAATAAGACCAAAAGTTTCTTCATCAAGGGAGACCTGGATCAAAGAGCTGTGATACTATAAATATGTAAACAAAGCAGTGAGCCATCTAACACGTGTTCATTATGGAGAAAATGATTACACAGCAATTAATAAGTTAATAATAACAAGAAGTAGTTTTTTAAAAGATTCGGTATAAATGCATAAAAATAGACCTTGATTTTAAGTCAAATACATTTAGTATGGGGTTACAGCAGTGTTTAAATGGCAAGCAACCAGCGAAACGAGAATTAACTTTCTACAGCAGCAATTATGGGATACATGAAGATATTTTGTGGAAGAAAAAAAACATTTCACGTCACGGTGATTCGAGACGAAATCTTGGAGGTTGGCGAGCAAAATGTAAAAAAATGAATGGATAAATAACATAATCAAAGTTCTCTTTGTTTACCTCCTGACACTCAGAGCTCCCCAGAGAGAATGCCGGCATAATAATAATCGCCTCGTGCCAGCGTGTGCCCTATTCCTTATGGGCCATTACTTTTCAGGGTTTGACACGAAATGTTCCTACACATAAATTGGACAGCGCTTGGCCAAACCCCCAACCACAGACAAGACAATGTGAGATGAATGTCGGCGCATGATTTGTATGCTAATCTCTGCACCCCACAGTTAACAGCCAGATAACATCTTGTGATCATTGCTGCACGATAGGGTGGGTGGGTGTGTATATATAGAAGCACTCTTCATTATTGCGATACGATTGTACCGTTCTTTATATATTGTACGAATCTCCTGGAACCCATTAAAAGTATCCGCGTGCACGTGGCGATTATATTTTGTTGATAATGTGCAAAGCAGGGAATTCTAATTCAATAACTCTGTGTGTTTGACTGTGATTCCAACTTGATTGAAATCCGGTCCTCATGTGTTAGCCCATATATGTGTGAGACATAGTGAGTAATACACAGTAATAACTGATGATGTTCAAGGGTAGCCAGCTGAAACGTTCATCAATCAAACATTCTTCCGGAAACATCCTGGAAAAGGCTGGTTGGCTCCAAATGTTGAGTTATTGTTTTATTTAGTGATGGTAAAAAAAAATTCACATTTAATTATGTTTTTTTTACATTAACTAAAGTAGAAACGTGCATTAAGTTGAGTACTAGTGATTAACATATTTGGTGTTTGTTAATAGTTTAAGATTACCCAGGTCACAACCATATGACAAAAGCTATACTTAAGTTTTCACATTGAGCATTCACTTAGTTATTAAACCCGCTACGGTACCTTCAATTAAAATTAAATCTATGAAGGCAAATTTATTATCTTATAGCATTTGGTAGACTTCATAAAGTGAAACTCTGACCTCGTTATATACCATAGGCCCAGCCCATGTCCACAAGAGGCATTCTATGCTCTTTAAGTCGTACATCATCCTCCTGTAGATTCTTTGGGATGGGCTCGCTGCTGTGTGTCTTGATCTTCCAAAGTCATGTCAAGACCCTTCAATAAAAAGAAGTCTCGCGTGATGTGGCAGCGAACATGCAGAGTTGTCACACAGTCCCCTCTCAATGCATATTGTCTTCAGAAAACCCAAGTGGTTTACCCATCGCACAGGTCAAGGGTCAAACAGTGGCGTGGTACGCCGCACACGTCCGCACTCGTTTGTTGAGGTCTAAAAATACAATTCTGCATTAATGTGTAGGGGTGGTGCAGTGTCTGTCTCTCAAGCTCACCTAACAACCACAACAACAACCATCCACCACTAAGTGACAGTGCGGTCACCGTAGTGGTTAATGCCAGACTGGGTGCTCTTTTGAGTCCATGTGAAGTGTCGACGGTTTGATTGCAGGAGTGCACGGTACAGACCCAGGTGTTATGGGTTAACTGACTGAGATGACTGGCAGATTTACCACCTGCTTTCCCTTCTGCACCACCTTGCAGTGTTATAGCCACCTGATGCTCTGCTGATTGTTGTGAGCATCTCTCCTCCACCGCCCTTTGTGGCTGGAGGTAAGGCCCACTGAGCTATACAGCTCTTTTCAGAAGCGACCAGGCGACAAATGATAGCTCAATGAAGTGGCTTATCACATGGAAATTAATTTAGTTTAATAGCCAAATGCTCTAAACGTACGTTGATTCTAAATGTGGGGGTAAAACCGGAGAACCTGGAGAGAATCAATCCACACGACCACAGGGAGAACATGCAAACTCCAAATATACAGGCGTCAACGGTCGGGATCGAACCCACGGCCTCCTCTATGCCAGGCGAGGTAGTCAACGTCTCCTGGCCACCGTGGCGAGATGTTCGATCTTCAGCCGGCTTCGCACTCAGCTCTCACGTCTTCACGTGGCTCAGCCTGACACGACTTCTCTTGCCGCTCCACCCACTGTGTCTCCCTGCGTCAGAATCGCCGTGCTGATTTGTGCACGCTCTAACTTAATTACCGGCGAATTGCCATCGCAAGACACACAAGGGCCGCCCTGTGTCAAATCATGTTGTGTTTATCAAATTTAAGTGTTGTAATTTTCTTGTTAATTGGTGATTCGTAAGACAATAGCTTGTTTCATGGTCTGCAGGGTTTGTTTTAGCATTACTTGTCCGCTCAATCTGTTTCTGAGGGCCAGTTTATGTACCGTTTAGATGAGGCACGACCACACCCACCTTCACATAAAAGTCACGTAGCACTACAAGTACGACAACAGGGCATGGCTGAGTGTATTGAGACATTAATCATCGTCAACAATGATCTATCCACTGCTGAATGAAGGCTTCGCCAAGCAGTGATCGATGGTGGACTGGCATCAATATGTAAATTATTAGGCGGAAGACAGCAGGTTGAACTGCATGTCGAAAGCTGACATTAAAAATAAGAAACATTTTAAGACTTTGATCATTTAGCATGCCTTTCTCAAACAAAAATTCTGACCACCACTCAGATGTGCAGGATTTGTTTAAAGGTAGGTCTAATTAATCAAGCATGTGCGTTGCATTTTTCCAGATAAGAATTGTGCATTCACCAAATGAGTTGGACCATGTATGAACGCCAAAGCAGCGGCTATTTATTTCACTGAAGGCACACGACACATGATGAAAGCCACGCGTTAAAGCTTCATTATTGCCGCATTGTTATTCGTATATTATAACAGGTAACACAACAAGGCGTGCGCATGTCCTGCCTGGTGATATATAACTGATCGTGCGCGGGCAAAAACCAATTTGGACCAAAATGTAGCTCCGTGCCCCTGGCGAGCTCCTCTGCTAATGCCGTCTGGGGAGTCGTTCATCATCGGCATTGCGGTAAAGAAAGCAGCCTTCGCTAAATCGGCCACAGTTGCGTCCTAGCCTCGGCGCAAACGATCGCGCTCTCATCCCCAGCGCCGCCTGCTTTGTATGCACGCCGCACACCGGCTGCACTGGGCCCCGTAGGATTTACTGCTTCCTCTGAAACAGATATAACGCCTGTCCCGTTAACGCTTTTAGGCGTGCCTAGCGTCAGCAGTGCCACCACGCCGAGGGCCTGAGTTTCTACCTCCCGGCATCGTTTCCCCAACCGGCATAGCCAGCGGACTCCAGATATCTGAACCGGCCAGCTAGCCCGATGCCGCCGCTGAAGAGTCACTCGAGAAAATCGTTTTCATCCCGCCGCACGTGTTGTCATAATTTTGTGAGATTTTAATTACGAGTAATATTTGGGGATTTTTTTTCTTCTTTCTAAATGCGCTTTAGTAACAGCCTGAAGGTAAAGAGTTAAAGTCGCGTGGTGTGAAATCACGGAAGAAGCTTTAAAAATAAATTCATTTTTCATGTTTACCTGCAGCTAATGCTATGGGGCCTCTCTAGCTGCAGGCGGTACCAGGTGATATTTTTTTTACAAAATCAAGGGACTGAAATAATTTGATGGGCTTATGGTTTAGTTATGAACTAAAGTACAATGAACTGCTTTGGAAAGGGCCTTAAAGGATATTAAAACCGTTATTTCCGTATCGTTCCGTAAATGTCCAGTCTTAAATAATGAGTACATGTTTTTCAAGAAGAAAGCTTCAGCCTCGTCTAATTTGCTTTTAATCAAACGCTCGTGCTCACCACAGCATGATCTGCAATGCTGTTTTGCAGAGAGTGGCTCGAATCTGGACGTCCTGTTGGTACAGCACATCGATATTGTTTCTAGATTTGAAGTTTTCGTGACTGCAAGAATCCATACTCTTCGGTTTTATTCGGTAAAGTCACGTAGGTACACACCCTACTCAGCTATATAAACCCGCGTCAGAGCCATCTCTTTGACATATTCCAGCAACTGTCTTCGCTGTGTTTGTCCCCACCTGATGACGGACGCTTGTGTTGCGCCCGAAACGTCGTGATTTAATTTAGTTTTTTTTTTTACATTAACATTGTGTCAGTAAACCACCTTGATGCAGCAAATCTGACTGTGACGGTCTCACCTGATGACGGAGACTTGTGTTGCCTCCAAAACGTCGTGATTTTATTATTTTATTTTTATTAATTTTAATTTCATTTTTTTTTTACCTACGTGACTTTACCGAAAGAACTAAGAGTATGAATCCTTGCAGTCACGAAAGCTTCAAATCTAGAAGTAAACCACTGCTCTGCGGTGTCATTGCCAAGTTGATCATCCTGCACTTGCGACGATAAACTCGCCGAGGTCACACACCCTCCGTTGCATTTCGGTGCCCTGGTTGAGTGAACTTCAACACTAAAACAAGATCATTGCGATTTAAAGCTTTCGTGACTGCAGGGATTCATCTTCTTGGTTCTTTCGGTAAAGTCACGTAGAATGGAAATAATAAAATAATAAAAATAAAACATAATAAAATAATTCTCACGACGTTTCGGCCACAACGCAAGCAGCCGTCCTCAGGTGAAGAACAGGTCATTCCGACTCTGTCTTCTCAACAGACCTGTTCTTCACCTGAGGACGGCTGCTTGCGTTGTGGCCGAAACGTCGTAAGAATTGTATTTTATTATGTTTTATTTTATTATTTTATTATTTCCATTCTACGTGACTTTACCGAAAGAACCAAGAAGATGATCATTGCAATAAAATGCAAAAAAGTCACGTCAACAAATGAGGGCAAAAAATAAACGAACGGGTTAATGAACACGTTTAACTTCTCGCTCAGAATACACACACACCAACCCTCCCAAGCACGAGGAGGCAGTTATCGTTGACTCGGCCCAGCAGACACTGCTGGAGATGGCCATGGCCGCTGTGTATGGTGCAAAGTCACCCGCTGCATTCTGAATTGCGTTGCTGTGAACCTCTGTGTCTGTTTTGTACAGCGCCTTGTGATCACTGGTTCAGATGCGCTTTAAAAGTGTTATTATTATTTTTAAAATCTATACAGTACTCCATATGCCATTGTGCATGACGATATACAGACACTTTTAAATAATCTTCATGATGAATATTGTGTGTTTGCAAATCTTCCTTCTGCAAACATTTTCTTTTTACTGGTGGTGTAGTAGACGCCAGATATAATTACACTTCTATGTGAGGAAGTGGGGTTGTATCAGAAGTTGCCCTTCATATTTCACCAACCAGTGCAATGCAATGATATGTGGATTATATATAAAAAATAAAAAAACTCAACACATTCATCAGTAATCATATGGCCTTAAAATGCATAGCACACGATGAAGGGCTATGAAGATGTTTCATCGAGAAGGACCATTGCCTAAAACGTTGCCTGTTATATATTGTTTTCCTTTTTAGGCCAGTGTTCGTGACGAATGAGCGTGATGATGAATGTGAGGTTGTTTTTCGTGTGTTAATTGCGCTTTGTGCACCACTCAACGTAGTACCAGCAAAACATGCGTCGCTTACATAAAACCTGTGCTTGTATAAGGTGTGCATACATCCGGCTTCCACGCTGATGTGCACTCATTAATTCCTATATTTAAACGTCCTTCACCCTCCAATTTAAGGTTGCCAACATCAATTTCCGCTGTCAGTTACAAATTGGCCGTTGTTCTGGCTGAACGTTCGGTCCAAAGAGTGACGGTGGCAAAGAGGTGCAAACTTATCCCTTTCGTCTTTTTACAAAGTGTGAATTTTTTTTTCTGGCATCGAAACATAACAAGTATAACCCGTAAAAACAAAGTTTTTCACTGTAAATCCTTTATATGCGTGGCATCGGTTTTATTTTATTATTCATTTCTGTTTTTCTTGAGTAAGAGTTTCATTTTTATCACATTGATATTTTAAATTTAATATGAAAAAAAAATTCCCTAAAAAGTGGAAAATTTTGGAAAAAAAATTTCACGAAAATAAATTGTCACGCACAACGAGTCTGTGTGCAAAATGTCAGCTCGATTGGATCACGGGAAGTGGGTTAAAAAACGACCGAAAGAGTTGCACGGTCCTAAGCAAGCAAGTGAACTTAATATAAAGGATTAAAAAAAAAGAAATGTGCCCGTGTTTGCGCATAAGTCGCGACAGCCGACATGAAATGAATGCCACACGGCCATGAACGCTGGCATGCGTGCGCGCTGTGACGTGTCGTGCGTGCTGTGACGTGTCGTGCGGCGAACAGCTGCTGGACGAGAGGGGCCTCCTCAGCCTGGTGTTCCACCCCGGGTTCCAGCGCAATGGAAAAGTCTACGTGTCCTACACCACGAACCGTGCTGGCGGTGGAATGGGGCCTCACGACCACATCCTGCGCGTCTCCGAATTCACGCTGTCGAGGTGAAGCGCCGCCATTTTTTTTTGCCAATCAAAGACGTTATGCAATGTGGATTCGTTTTTTTTTAACTATGTTATTATTATTATAGCTTGCGCGTTTGACAGTGGGATTCGTCGTAGAGTTGGTGCTCACAGATTTGAATCGGTTAGTTGGACTGTTAGCTTCCCTGGGGGGGGGGGGGGGGAGCAGGGGTGGAACAGTGGAGGGGGGGTGGAGCGGGGGAGTAGGGGGGCCAGCACTGACAAGTGACGCACCGGGAACTCTGAATCCATTGCCAACCGAATGTCACAGAGACAATACAGGGAAGCGGGCATCATGTAAATCATTACACCGCGTGAGTGTTGTTCGGTCCTAAAAAACATGTTGACTCCCTCTTGTATTGATGCACGGAAAAACACACGCTGGATTACTGACAATTCCCTGCTGAAACCTTTACATCAAAGGGTGTCTGATGATGCAATTAGCATTTGCAAAGTCTTAATGACCTGCAGCATAACATACAAATAATACAATTACATTTTTGAATGAAATGACAACTATTACATCACATGGTTGAACAGCCAGCATTGTTCCTAGCAAGTTTTTTTTAATGCCGGTGAACACAGAGTAATTCAGCTGGAGCTCTTTGTGTCCCCTAGTTTAAAGGAAAAAAAATCATATTAAATAAATTTGTTCTGGAATAAATGAAAAAAGTAAAACAAAATCCAATGAGTCTACTCTGCCTGGCCTCGAACATCATTCCTGAAATGTTCTCATCGGGGAAAAATAATATATATATAAAGGTGGAGCCCTGCGAACGTCTACCCACGTCCCTATTGGGCACAAGGACTCTCACTCGAGGGAGCTCTTGATAGCCACTCGAACGTATCTTGGCTACTGGCCAGGTGGATGTACCCACACGTTACCCCACCACACGCAACCTGCCGATTGACTCGAAAAAGATGGAGGTAAGCAGGGGGGAGAATTTAAACTACCGCACCTGGAGATCGAATAGAACCGGTAACCTCTGGATTGCAAGTCCAATGTGCAAACCATTATGCCATGGCAGCATCTTAAATAAAATAAAAATGTAATTCTCCATATTTTGATTTCGACTCTGCATGGCACTGCCTCTTCACGCTACATTATACTTTCCATTTTCACGGTTATATTTATTCTGCTGTTCATTATTTATTTGCCAGAATGCACAACTTGGATGAAACACCCCATTTACAGTATGAAGAATGCTGCCAGTGGCAATGATGCCCTCATGGAGGGCATGCATGGTGCAACTATAAAATGTATTCCAAAAAATGCATCACACATCATTGCATCACCTTGTTGTTAAATAAAGTCCCATCGCCATATAAAGGAAATTGGAAAATTCCACATACATCCCTTGAGGCATTTCCAGAACCGCATAAGATTATCTTGGTGAAAATAGTCACACTTGGCGCTTTTTTTAATCAAGGGATCAAAGGTCACACGGGTCATTCATAGCTCATCATAATCATCATCACCATGAGTTCAACCCCGATGAAGCTTGGAAAGCTGGCTGGAGTTCAAAAGAACTCGCAAACACCTTGTGAAATTACCCAACGCAGAAGATCCCTGGTTTTGATCTTCCATGAAGCTCATGGTCCACCCTAAGCCGCATCCGCACAAACCATGGCAGATGCGGATACACCTGACGCACAAATGGAAAATGAAAAAGTCTCCGGTAGTGTGCGACTGTAGTCATCCAGAACAGACAACACAATATGTTACGATGCATTACCTGATCCACAAATACAGCGATACACCACTGCTCCTGTTACGGTTGTCTGCCTTGAGCGCCTGAATGTGACATCGCAGCTGTTGATCTGCGTCTACATTAGCCGTACGCAAGAAGAAGAAGATTATCACCATGGATCCCAGTTCTGTTTCCTGTCAGATTGAGCCTGCACTCTGTATGACTACAGCGCTGTGACTGACAGACTGACTCACTACAGACTGACTCGCCACAGACTGACTCACTACAGACTGACTCACTACAGACTGACTCACTCACTACAGACTGACTCACTACAGACTGACTCACTACAGACTGACTCACTACAGACTGGCTCACTACAGACTGACTCACTACAGACTGACTCACTACAGTGCTGTGACTGACAGACTAACTCACCGTCACTTGGTTAATCGTCACCATCATCGTTGTACATTCTTAGACAAACACTTAACGACGATCACGAGAACGTTATTAAGTGTCCATATTATTGTCTCAAAATCGTGCTGATCCACAGAATGCAAGCAGTGAGTGCTAGAGAGATCTATATATACGTTTACGTAGGCACGTGGTCTCTGCCCCTTTTGCTGTTGACCTGCCCTTTCTCTAAGCTGCCTGTCACTCTGCCGTGACCACCCCCAGCCTGTTGAAGTGGTGGCAGCCCTGTCACTCCTCGTCACGCGAGGGTGACAGCCACCGTGCGTCCGTGCGCGTGAAGTCAGTGAAGACAAGAGTCTTTATTCGCACCCTGCCGACGACGCCCCCCAACTATGAATCTGACAGCGAACACTCTGGATATGAACCAAAAATGCTTTTATGCACTTTCCACACTTGTGTTGATCTCCGTTGGATTCCCGTGTTACACCACATTGCAATAAATCTGTCAATATTTAACCAGGCGGAAGCTTGTCAAGAATCGCCAGAAATATAGCTGAGAAGCATTTTTTAAAATATATATTTTTTAGTCAGTTGTGGATCATTTCTGTACTTTAAAATGTTGAGCAATGCCATGAGCACAAAGCCTACTCTGTGCATTGCACACAAAGCCCGTATCCACTGTCGTCTAGATACGCGTACCGGGCGGTATTTCTGCCACCGCAACTTGAAAAAGTTCCCTACGTTTCCAATCAGATGCTGGCGCAGACGAACGCCAGTGATGGTTTGTCGGTGGCTTAAGTGAGAGCCAGAAATCCTAGTGGCGGCGCGGCCACAAGATTTCAACAGCAGGAAAAGTGTACGGCCAGCACATCCACGCCGCCTGCATCGATTGGAGCCAATAAATTGACATTTTTCGACGTTTTGGCAATCACAGAGAGGGCCTTAATGGAATGGCTTTTCGCTGACTGTGCCGCGACACCAGCCTTTTGCGGCTGTTGAAGCTCCACCCCGTAACCAGAACCCGCTGCCTACAACTACTTCCAGTTACCAAAGTAAATTGAATTCCGGAAGAACCATCGGCACCAGCGTCAAGAGAATGTGACGGGTCGTTAACGGCGTGCAGTTTACCCGGCGATGTTTTTTTTTCTCTTTCTGGGAATTTCAAACGGGGGTTTTAGAGATTGTGCTGAACGTAAGGCCATTGATGTCAATAATTGAAACTCCCCGACGTGGCCTTAACCCATTTAGCTGGTTGAGCATGCGCGTACTTGAGTGTAACTACGTACAATCTATTTTGACCTCAGTTATAAAGTAGTGTGAGTGTGCAATAGGCCAGATTCACATGCTGACAAGGCGACTAGAAAATATCACTTTTTGTGATGTGTCCATTTGTTGTTAATGGAAATAGGGCATTTTCACCAAAAATAACACCACATAATTAGCATTCCTTCAGATGTGAATGTGGCCGAGTGACCAATAAACAGTGACAACGATACTGTATTTAAACGGTAACGTTTTATTTTCTTGAGCAAGCTAATGCATGCCATTCTATATCGTTCAAAACTCATTACCTAATAAATTGATAAAGGTACAAAATGTACATCCGTAAATAAGAGCGCCTATCAAGATGCGTGCACGCAAACAGTGTGTAACAGAGAAATACACAAATCCCATCACTCAGCGATCCTCACGTATTGCTTCATATTTTCCTCATACGAGGACTTTGAATGTCTTCCCGCAGTGGTCTAACCGAATTCCTCGCCTCCCAACCCTGAAATGATCGAGAACTCCGGCACAAGCCCCCTCACCCTGTCTGTAATAAACGAGACACCTTTATCCTTATCCTCGACAGGTCTTGCCACTTCGCTCTTGATTCAATCCCGAATGGACTTGCAAAGGTCACATTCACGGTCAACAACTTAATTCTAGATTTGAAGCTTTCGTGACTGCAAAGATTCATATTCTTAGGTTTTTTCGGTAAGGTCACGTAGGTAAAAAAAATTAAATTAAAATTAATGAAAGTAAAATAAAAATTAATAATTCTATTTTTTTACCTGCGTGGTCTACAACTTCCCCTGCTCACACTGATACCGAGACCCTCAGCGGCGGTACGGGCCTAACCTAGCTTCGTCCTCTCCTTCTCCTCTGCTTTCTTCTCTCAAGGTCTGTTTCTCTCTCTCTCTCTCTTAACTCTCCGTGTGAATTACTTTCGTTCGCATCTTTACATTACTTTCTCCTTGATCCCCCCCCCCGCACCTCCGATTAACACGGTTGGCTACGTACGGCGCGAAATAAGTTAACCGTACGACATGCTCTACTTTTTTTTCTTCTTAGTTCTTTCGGTAAAATCACGTAGAAGGGAAGTAATAAAATAATAAAAATAAAACATAATACAATAATTCTCACGACGTTTCGGCCACAACGCAAGCAGCCGTCCTCAGGTGAAGAATGAAACACCACCAAAATGCTCTACTTTCCTTCTCTGCCGGGATAGCCAGCCCGCTACTCATCAGCCGCTCCCTAAATAAAGTGTATTATTGCGATGCACATTTCCCCTCATTCGTGCGGCGTCTACAGACGCGGTCACAATTTGGATGCTCCAGAAACCAAAAGTTGCACCACACTGCATTGGACGGTGCACCTTGCAACTTATCATTAGGGGCCGTCCATAAATGACGTCACGCACCTGGGGGGGGGGGGGGTTCAGAAATGTGACGTCACATCAAAATGCGCACCTTTAAATGAATATAGACAACACGTTCTACTTAATTAAATATACTTTTTAATAAATGTTTTACACTACAACATCAGAGTGCAGCGCCACATTAAATACGCACTACAATGACAATAGTTTAAAGCGATTTGAAGCATGTAAAAAAAAAATGGGGGGGGGGAGGGGGCAGAGCTTTGTGACGTCATCTTTGAGGGGGGGTCTGAGTTTTTGTGACGACGGGGGGGGGGGGGGAGGTCAAAAATCGTCCACCGCAGTATTTCCCTGGCCGCTGATCACAGCGCTGATTCATACAACGTGGCCGGAAGCATGCGATGGTTGAACGCTCTCCTCTCAAGGCAAGGAGACAACCACTGTCGTTATAACACACGGGAAGCAGTGCGCTCATGAGAGGACTGCATATGGTAAAGGTGCAGCACTGCAATTGTTTGCTCTCGCCACCGCTACAGGCAGCTCTATAGAGCTCTATAGAGCTCTATAGAGCTTACACTACAACCATCTATAGAGCTCCACTCTTCCGTAGTGGCCAGACGTCTTGTACGAGCCGTGCGTACCCACACTTGATCCCACTACACGCGAGCTCCCGTTCGACTGTCGTGTCCTCGTTCACACTGCTAGGTGGACGAAGGTGGGTGGATGGGTGGGGAGGGTTTAAGAAACCTTCCAATTGCTTCTTACTCCCCGGGTCAGGAGGTCGGACTGAACTGGAGACGACTGCGCTGCGAGTCCAGTCGCGTTTGCTCCTCGTCGCGACACGGTAGCGTTCCCCACGAGTGAGCTGTGCTTTGCCGCTCTGCAGGAAATCTGCCAACCGCGTGGATCCCACGTCTGAGCGGACGATGGTCGAGGTGGCGGAGCTGCACAGGAGGAACCTGGGAGGAGAGCTGCTCTTCGGAGAAGATGGCCTCCTCTACGTCTTCCTGGGAGACGGGGAGATCACGCTCGACGACATGGAGGAAATGGATGGACTTAGGTACGATCGGCAGACTCGTGCACGTTCAGCGACATCATTAAGAGCTGCCACGCACCGTGCGCCGTATCGGATAATTATCGGACGCGTTGTCTTTTTCCCAACTGTGTTGGCGGCATCACGCCGTGAGAAAAAGGGTCCGCTTGGAAGGCTCGCAGTGCAGTGCATCACCCTGTGTTAGAGAGCGGCCCACGGAAGATGATGTCACAGAGCTACTTCTGAAGTTCCCTCAAATGACCTCGGTTGTCTCCACACAAAGGGGAGGGGGGGTGCTGCATCTCCCCGCGTGCTCTGCTCGGGAAGAATGCTTGTCGCATGGTTGTCAGACCGATATTTTTTAATATTCTCAAAGCTGGAAGATAATCAAAGTAAATGTCAAAACGTATGTAATGCTTAGTTTTTATTTGTTTAATTAATCATTGCTGACTGGTGCGGAAATCCGTCAACTCGCCAAATTTGATAACCCAATTGAATCTTGGGCAGGTGAAACCCGGATTCAAGCTGAGTATCTCAGCAGTGCCATATATTTGAACACCTCACTGAATTGGCTTTAAAATGACACGCCTTTTGAAATGTGGGTTCTTAAATGACTACCACGATGTGGAAAGCCAACGGGACTTGTCCCATGGAGAGACTCAACCTGTCGTGAAAATGTAGACTTTCCACCCACAGGATCAGGGCCGTAATGTGCATTCGCAAGTACCACCTGCGTGGGCATTTGGGGCTGCTGTTGATCGCTCGGGGACGGCTGCTCGCGGAACGGTCCTGGCCACTAGGGGAGCCGCTGTCCTCTGCAAACTCCGGCTTGTGCCTTCAAACATTGATGAGAAACTGCCACGGCAAAACGATCGATCAGGACCTGGGCAATACCAACCATACATCACGTGCTGAGTAAGATGCACGCGGCTAGTTTGCATTGCCGAGTGGAATGTTCTCATTGTTTTCAGATGTATGGACGGGTTAGGGCAGCGGAGGTACGAGGCATATGAGCAAAATAAGCAAATGCACCGGACCCCAAGTAGCTTGAGGGGCCTCGGATAAATAAAAAATCGTTTTTAATTAATGTCAGCTCGAATTAAGATCTTAATAAGCGTAACACAGCAGATGAATCTCACAGCCCTGTCTTGTCTGAATCTCTGATCTCATCTTACTCCACCTCTGTCTCTTCTCCACATCTCTCATCTCACGACGTCTTTGTCTCATCTACATCCATCTTCTTTCATCTCGCTACATATCTACCTCTTGTCTATATCTCTTCTCTCATCTCGTGAAGAGTTTGTGCAAATGAAGGGTGGGGGGTGGTGCCCAAAAGTTGTTTCTGCTTTGGGCCCTCAGTGGGCCAACGCCACCGCAGGGCATCAGCGCATCTTAAATTACCCTCGGCGCGTCGGCAATTAGACATGGTAATGAAGCCGGAGCTTTAGTGTGCCGTTGTTCGATTTGGCTGCCACAAAGGCACTGCGTCACGTTCTCAGACACAGACGACAGCCCCCCTTTTCACCGAGACACAATCGGTTATTCACGTCGATTTAAACCACAGTTTGGATTCACGGAGCCGTTTGAGTCTGAACGCACGCGTCGGCGGTGCAGGGGTTGGCGCACTGCGCTACGAACCCCACGCCGTCTGAGTTGGACTCTGGGCCCACAGCCAGTGAACCGATCCGGGGATTCTTTCTTCACCAACCGACACTCACCCGACATGATGACGTACGGTCGAACGACCGCAATGGCCGATGCGGTGCAGCGAGGCACTTCATCCAGCAGTGGGGTGGAGTTGTGGACAAATTGCTGTGAATTATTATGAATACTTCGTGTGCGTACAGCATCGATGAGTAGATTTACAAGCAAACTCGGAGTAGGATTCAACACCGTTCAATGCCACTCGTGCAATAAACACTGACAGATGTAACAAGTATAAATATTACACTAAAAACGTATATGGCAATGCTCAACTAGTCAGCACCGTGTATTAAAATGCTCTAAAAGTCGAGCATTGACTTTGACCTCAGTATGATGAGTTAGCTGTACTTTGTGTGCTACGTGGTGCAGTTTTTATATTCCAGTAAGATATTTAATTCGTTAAAATGTAATCGTACATTCAAATGTGTGTGGGGGGGGGGGTTACGAGGGTTAGGGGGGAAATGGTGGTGGAGTTGTTAGTGCACCCAGCACGCTAATTTCCATTCCAGCGAACATAAGTAGTAAGTGATATCCAAACTGGCCATTGGTTCTCCATTATAGCAAACCCACACTGAACAGCACGATAGAAGGTAGAGTCGAGTCAGGGGTTGGCAGACCTGCAGCCCCAGAGCCGCATGCGGCTCTTTAAGGACTGTTTCGTTACTTTTTTAATTATTGAGGGTTTTTCTTTTTTTACCGATTTATTTAAAAAATGCCTCGTCTTGTTGTTTTGATTGACACGGCCTGCGGAGGACTTTATCCAGCAGTGGATTGACTAATGACTGAAATCATTATTCAAATGTTCTGCTATACCGGTAGCTTAATTTTCTTTTGTTATGCATTTGTCAGCGGGGATATATTCTCGTGAATAAAGGTCCTAGAAGCGGTGGGAGAAAAAAAATATATACGTAAGATCAGATTTCCGATCGTACGTATTTCTTTAATACGTCATAAAGAGCGCTCTTTAAAAGCTTGTCTATGTAAAATCTAAAAGGTCTTATTGGATATTCCAAGGTCATTGGAGCCCAGTGCTCCCCACAGTAAATGAGGGTTGGGAGGTTAGTGCCCTCGTGTGATCTCGATGGATCAATCATTGCCGACAAACTCTACCTTTGAACATTACCTCTGGCTGGAAGACAGCTTTTATAGAGCCACAAGCGACACCTGACAGAGGCACGAACTAGGACACGTGCCTTCCCAGCCTCCCCGTGCCTGCGAATGTGTTTATTAAGTGCTGTGGGTAAGTGTTGATTGTATTGTTTCAATGGGTAACCTTTATAATCAGGTGAGGGGCCCACTGAAGTGCGATTCATTGTATCCTTTGTAAATCGAGAGTTGATGCATGTGGTGTGACTTGAACCCATGACCTCCCCCCCCCCCACCACTTGTAAAGTAAACATTCTGTTACTAATCTATAACAAAATTGTACAGGGTTTCTTTTTTTTAAGTCTTTGTGAGAAGAAGTTTTTGAAACGGTGGCTTTTCAGCGGTAAGACAAATTGCACATAATTGATTATAAATTGAATGCAAATGCTGCGTAATGTTTACGCGTGGGTTACAATGCGGAATGTCTGGCAGGGCGGGCAGTACTGGGGCCTTTGAAGTTTCTCCACGGTGGGTTTCTTTTTTAAATCCAGGATTGCCTTCTGCAGCAACGAAAGTCTCATGGGTTTGACAGAACTCTGGGTCCTAACCACGAAAGCCCGTTGCCCTATGATGGCTGATGCTGTGTGCTTAAAGCGATCATGGGAAGTCTGTCACCATCGCACACCACTCGTGCCGTTCTCATGCACTAAACGTAACAGCCCGCACTCAACACACGCATCCTTCATTTGCGCGAGTGAATTGTTGTTGAATGCAAATTGTTCCTCGTGGGAAAGACCTCCACGTCAATATCACACGAGTAAAATATATCTTACATTTACGTATAAAATCGATCTCTAGCTCCGCCCACTTACCCTTGGGTTGAGCCCACCTATAGCCTATGTAACCTCGTGTTGCAGCAGTTCTCCTGCTGCGTTTGCCTCGCCTGATGACGGTTGCTTGTGTGGCGATCGAAACGTCGTGCTCTGTTAATTTTCTATCCACGTGACTTTACCGAAAAGAACCAAAGAGTATTTCACCTTCGTTTTATGGTAGTGGAATTTTTAATAATCCATTTTTACAATGTTTTATTCACAATAAGTAAAAGGTTTTGTTAATGTTATTTAATGGATAGGCATGTCATGATTTATCCCCCAACCACTCACCTCCTACTAATTAAATGAATCGTCACGATTTAATTTGAATTGTAATCACTTTTTAGTCTTTTTGTGATCTCATCGGTGTTGTTTCTTGCTTGTTCTACTTTATTTATATAAACCAGTGTTTGCTCCCAAATAATGTATCCTTATGCACGCAATTCTATGCATGTATCCTTACCACTGTAATAATAATTTTAATGAATCGACGCACCGTGACATGCCTATTAATAATAATTATAAAACAAATATGAAAAATGTATTTTTAAGATTTAGCATCTTGCTAGGCTTTGAAATAATATATCTTCCTTCCTCCACTTCCCCCCCACTAATTACACATTCTGTTCTTGTTTACTCAAGGCAAACTCAAATATAGCATAAGCCGAGCGTGCCGCTGTAGTGGCAAATCGTGGAGATGCAGAAAACCTGTGTGAATTGGGCGTGCGAAGATGCACACGCAGTACGCAGTCAAATATCCGACTTCCCATCGTCGTCATCCCCACGATGGTCGGCGCCGTGAGCCCAAGCGCTTCCTTTTTGAGTGGGGGCAGGGCGGGGGGGGGGGTCACCCCGGAAATGTTACGCTTCAGTGAAACCTGTGTTTCTTGAACAATACTAAATGGGACCTTCTTCTTGGTTCTTTCGGTAAAGTCACGTAGAATGGAAATAATAAAATAATAAAAATAAAACATAATAAAATAATTCTCACGACGTTTCGGCCACAACGCAAGCAGCCGTCCTCAGGTGAAGAACATGGCTGTCGAGAAGACAGAGACTCTGTCTTCTCGATAATTATTTTATTATGTTTTTATTTTTATTATTTTATTATTTCCATTCTACGTGACTTTACCGAAAGAACCAATAAAATGAATCCCTGCAATCACGAAAGCTTTAAATCGAAATTTAAATGGGACCTTTTATTTTTGCCAGTTTCAAAGTATAGGTTTTACCCTTTCTGGCAATACAACAAGTGTTCCGTTGTTCAAACAACAAATAGCAACCTTTTGTAAGGAATCAACTTATCATAACCACACACAGTACTTGTGCCGAACATGCAAGAAAAACATGCTCTGATAAAACAAA